GGATGCCTTTCTTTAGAAGTCGGTTCAGTGGTAACGCTATCTGAGCGAATCCTGGCACAAAAACGCCTATACCAGAACATATTCCCAAAATCGTCATAAACTCGGACGTTATGCGGGGCGGGTAGATCTTGTATAGCTGATATCTTGTCCGGATCGGTCTGTATCCCACGTGGCGGTTACTAAATGTCCCAAATATCGTAATGATCTTCTTCCAAATTGACATTTTTTCTGGATTGACTTTGAGATTAGCTCGTCGCGAGGCGGCGAAACACTTCTTGTAAATTATCAAGTGTTGCTCGAAAGTATCTCCTAAAACTATAATATCGTCGAGAGTACGCAAAAACAAAAATGGTTCCAGTTCTGGTCCTATAATACGATCCATAAGTCGTTGAAAAGTAGCTGCGGCAGAATGAAGTCCAAAGGCATAACTTTGAACTGGAAACAATCCTTTGGATGGAACGGTGAAAGCTGTGATAGCTCTGCTCTCCGGAGTTAACGGTACTTGCCAATATCCTTGTCTAAGATCTATACTAAATGTAACGTGCTCTGCAAGTTTGTCTAGAATAGCATTTATGTAGGGAAGAGGATAAAAGCATCCTTCTTGGTCCACAGCATTGACCTTTTGGAAGATCTACACAGAATCGATACTTTCCATCCTTCTTCCTTACCATAACTATCGGTGAACTCCAAGGACTATCAGACGGTTCTATTATGTTTTTCAGAGTCAGCATTCTCTCTAGCTCGGTGTTGATAACTTCTTGCATTTTCGGATTCTGCGGGCGGTATCTCTGTTTGATCGGTTCCCAATCAATTAGTTTGATTTCGTGTTGGATTAACGATTGTAGTACCCTGTATTAATTCAAAACTGTGATAATTCTTCCTTCAAAAATCTCTGAAGACGATTTTCTTGTTCTGAGAGTCAGATGTCACGAGGCCTCCTCACGGTCAACTGTATCCAGATTGTTAACCAGTTCAGCTCGAGATGGCTTATCCAAAGCTCTTCGTTTAAATATGCTTCGTTTCTCTGGAGATCTAGTCTGAATGGATGACGACTCAAAATATCCATTCCTATTATCATGTCATAGGCTAATCGCGGTAAATAATTTGAAAATATCTACTAACCTTGACTGTCCAATTTTCAGACTGATACAGTATGCTCTCTGTATAGTTTCTAGAATACCGTTTGCTATTTTACTTAGCACTCTTGACGGTCCAGGTTGAACAAAGGATTCCTTTGGATTGTGCACAAATTGAAAGTACTTTCTTTCCAAAATAAATTCGTTGCTCGGTATCAATTAAGGCAGTAAAGGTCCGTGTTTGAAATCTAACAGCTATCGTCGGTCCGTGATTTTTATTAGTCTTGTCTGGAATTGTGAGGCCTGAGTCACGCACTGGGTGCGCCTCGGTTTGGCCCAGCGCGGTTGGAGTTTTCGAATTCGTACAATTGCATTCACGTGACATCACCCCTGGCCGTCCGCATCGTGAACAGAATAATTTAGCCGGCCCGGTGCACTGGCTGCGCGTGTGACCAGATTTGCCCGCACCGCCAGCACTGGGTCTCCGATCTATCCCTCTGAATTGTCTCTGTTTAGATGTGTTTGCTACAGGTTGGCGGTTACGACTCGGTTCTTGGCCTGGTGATAAGTCACCGACGGTCGTTATTTCGTTTGATCGGCGGTGGAGATGTCGTTACATTGCGGGTGTTATTTCCGGTTTTGATAAAGTTGATGCTTGATTGTTTTGAATTTCTCGGTTCTGAGCGGTCGATTTCTTTTGATATTTATCAAATGAATCTTGGCGATTTCTGTTGGCATCTGCCATTTCTCGATTTTGTTTATCAGTTCCGGTTGGCTTCGGTTAAATTGATTTATCGGTGCCCGTCGGCTTCGGTTAAGTTTTCGGTTGTAGGAATGGTTACTTCTGTCGGTCGTCGATATCTTTGCTCTTCATGTTGTACATCGGTTCTTGACGATATCTCTGTTCTTGTCGATATCTCCGTACTTCATGATATCGACTCTCTGTACTAGTCAATGATCCTCGTAATTCTTTCACGAAAGTAGCTCATATTCTTTAGCTATTTTGAAAATGAAAGTACGTCCCAAAATCACTGCTTGGCATATGTATTGTCTGTACTCCGGTAATAAATTTCTGTACAACCACTGTAGTTCTTGAGTGGGTCTAATATTTCCATGTCTTCTGATCAGTGTTTGTAGGTCAGTAATGTACTCCGTTACTGACTCGTTCGGTCGTTGTCGTCTTCTGGCAATTTCCGCTTCCAAGTCCTCTTCATAACGGACTGGAAAATAGAATGATCGGAAATGCGTAGAAAAATCTTCCCAAGTAAAACAGTGAGTCCTGATATTGCGAAACCACAAAGCGGCGTTTCTTCGCAATAGTTCCGATAAATGTACGTACTAATCCTGTCCATGGCTATTCCCTGTGCCGTGCAGATCTCTTCTATTCTTTCTAGAAATGTCACGGGATCACGCCGTCCATCAAAAGTGACATTCCACTTGTAAACTTTAAGTGGCGGATCAAAGGATGTTTGTCTCGAAGTGACAGGCGGAGGACTTTGGCATTGTTCAAATGCATTCCTGTTCCCTGCCTGATATCCTATCGCTGAAGACGTCATAATGCTTGTTGATAGGGTGGTAGTAACGGTGGTCGTTGTTTGAGTCGGAATCATGGTCAGACTCGGGACGAAGAGGCTTCTCTTCCTTGTTGGAAATACGAAAGGTTCTGCGAACGGTTGTGGGCTAGTTTTCCCTCCCCGGATAAACTTCACCGTTCTCCTTCGCATCTCGTCTACTGTACCATGACTATCCAAGCCAAATCTCTGCATTTGAGCGGCTAACTCGGACTTACTCAGCAGGTATATCCACCCTGTCCTTTTGTCAGTTTCGGCTGGCGGTACTATATCACACTGTCTCCCTTTGTCTGGGATGCTTAGCCGGTTTGTCCATAGGCTCCTTTGCCTTTCTTTCCCGCTTCATTTTCTCCATCTCTGGCTCTCAAAGAACTGTTTTCTCCACTGCAAATAATTACGTAACCTGTCCTGTGCTCGAGCGCCAAATTTGCAACGTAACTTATTTTTTTTTAGCTTTTAACGTTACTGACAGCTTAAGTTTCTTAACTTATTGTTGCTTAGAAGATCTCGGGCGCCACCTCTGGTTAATAAGTGGTTAGAGGCCACCAGTGCCGGTTTCGGGTAGCTTTTAAATAGTGGAGAATTATGGCGTGTTACAGTTCTTTTTTAGCTCAGAGGTGGGAAAATAAATTAAACTCTCTAATCAACAGTGGTAAAATAAAGGGCAGGTCGTGTTTTCCAAAACTATTTACAAGTCAAAGCTTTATTTTTAAATGCAAAAAAATCTGTCTTCTTCGGAAAGTCAGATAGCACGGCGATGTGTAGGTGGCTGGTTGCGACCCCAGCGTTTAAATTGACTCAATACGTAGGAGTCTCTCGTCACCGGGTTGGAGTAAAATCTTGCAGGCGGTTTCGGGTGACGGTTAATTAAAACGACGGAGGACGGGCAGGCTTCCCAACTGCTAGGCGGCGGCGGTGTCTCGGGGCTGGCTTCTGCTTGGCGGACTGCGGCGACTGTTGCTGCTGGTGCTGGTGTTGTCGGTGGTGGTGGTGTAGGAACTGTTCGGTTGGTGGCTGGGGCAGGAACTCCTTTTCTCTGGCTGGCGCGTCGCTTCTTATTTTTCCCAGTCCTTCCCTCCAGTTGAAAACTGTCGTGGTGGCGGCGTGCGCCGAGCGGTTGTGCGCGTCTCGATACCCGATCTAGTACCAGCGGTTGTGCCAGCGGTACCAAAGCGGGGCTGCATCGAGCGCGTAGAATGCGTTCAATTAATTGGCGCATTTTAAGCTAATTAATGAGTTCAGTTCGTACGTTAATCCAGCAAATATAATTTTATTTAAAATGTGCTATCTTCTCGAAAAAGAATCAAATTTTTCTAATGTACGCAAAAGTAGAAAGATAAATTAAATAAAGAAAATTCGTAATCGGCGGAAAAAAATAGAAAAAGAAAATTAAATATATATAAAAAAAATAGTAACTTCGTTACAATGGATACATGAACAGTAACTAGAGTAAAATTAAAAAAATAGACAAACTACACCAACAAACACAAAGCCACAAAACAGACAACAAACACACTACCAAAACTGACTGTCTATATTTAATTCATCATGGATACATGAACAGTAACTAAAGTAAAATTAAAAAAATAGACAAACTACACCGCTAACAAACAGATAAACCACAAAACAGACAACAAACACACTAACAAATCTGACTGTCTAAATTTAATTCATCATGGATACATGAACAGTAACTAGAGTAAAATTAAAAAATAGACAAACTACACCAACAAACACAAAGCCACAAAACAGACAACAAACGCACTACCAAAACTGACTGTCTAAATTTAATTCATCATGGATACATGAACAGTAACTAGAGTAAAATTAAAAAAATAGACAAACTACACCGCTAACAAACAGATAAACCACAAAACAGACAACAAACACACTACCAAAACTGACTGTCTAAATTTAATTCATCATGGATACATGAACAGTAACTAGAGTAAAATTAAAAAAATAGACAAACTACACCAACAAACACAAAATCACAAAACCAACTAACTGCCCAATATAATATACAATTTCCAAATTTCTTTCATGATTAGGTCATAGATACAACATAATAATATTTTAATAATATAAGTTAAAACATAGAATTCTTTTGTAGAACTGAAATATCAACATATTCAATTGTACATCTTGTGTTAAATCTTTTAATCGTAAAGATAATCTATTACGCCATATGAGGACTGCCTGTAGCAAGTCAAGTTTTTTCAACCGATGGCTTGGAAAGTCTGCTGAAAAAAGGGTAAGACTTTTTCTCACTGTTTTACAATGTTAGTCTTATAAATATTTTCTTTTATAGAGAGATTTTTGTAAAAAAATCGGGAATCGCATGACAAAAGATCGATTTTCTGCAGAATCGATTTAAATTGAACATCCTTAGTCACGAACCAACTATAAAAGAACCTGCTTTTACCGCCAGACTGCAACAATATTTCTCACTACGATTGAGCTTGCAAGGTGTTTGTGTGGTTTCGTGTTTTAATAATTCTCGACTGTTTACAGGTAAATATTTTTTACCTTCTTCTTTCCAAAATTTATTCATAACCTTTTAAATATTCAAATATACAACATAATCTTATATTACAGAATTAAATCGAAACATGTTCACATGTTCATCTTGTCAAAAAGCGTTCAGTCGTAAAGATAATTTAACTCGTCACTTAAAGAATGCGTGCAAAAAGTCTTCTTTTCTAAACCGTTTTTTGGGGAGGTCAGCAGCTGAAGAAAAAAGTAAGACATTCCCATTGTATAATTTTATAAACTAACAAAATAATTTCATTTATAGAAAAATATTGTTCAGAATGTAAAGAACATATTTTACAAAATTTGTGGGTTGGTCATCTGCGTTCAAACAGTCACAAAAACAACTGTAAAACGTTGGAGGAAAAAGGAATTCAAGTAATAAAATCAGCTTTCAAGGAAAGGATAATATCCTACAGATTATCTACCGAAGAAAATATTTTAAATGTTAAAAACTATTTTAAAATATTGGAACAAAAGATTCTACGGGTGTTTGACAATCAACTGAAAAAACATACTTGTATTAAAGTCAATATAGAACTTTTTGGATATTACTATAACCCCAGTAACGATAATCATGATGTCAAATCGTTCAACACTCCATTTAAAGTAATTTGTAACAGCAGTGCAACAAAGGACTTAGTAGAAGATTTTTTAACAATTATTGAAAACAAGGCTGATGAATTCACAGAAAAGGACTCTGGTAAGTGTTATATTTTTAATATAAATGTAACATAATACATTAATTTTATTTTTTGTTTCACGATGGATTTTACTAAATCTTCTTTTTTTGGAAATTAACATCAACAAATTCAACCCTTTGAGAGCGTCATCATTTATTGAACTTCCTCCCGAAATAACTCAACGTCAAGCTGTCCTCAACATAAGAAATAACGATGACAACTGCTTCGCATGGTCCGTAGTTGCAGCCCTTCATCCTCCAACAGGTGTTGATTTTCAAACATCATCATACCCACACTATTCAACAGTTTTGGACACTACAGGTATTGATCTGTCTTAAATCTATTTAAAATTTTATTTTCAACATTTGATAAGACTGTGTTTTCCAAGGTTGTTGTATTTACAATGTTACGTTTAGAAATATGACAACCAAATTTATCAACAGACATGGTTTGATATTGGTCAACAATTGATTTGTTTACAACTATCAATTCTTATTTATAGTATAACTTTAGCCTCCCATAATTCCCCAATTATAGATAATATTTCATTGTTGTGGGCTGTATTGCCAGCATCTGTAGATGCTAGTAAAAAGATGAGTCAGTCCACAAGTTCATTTTTATTATCCCAATACACATAATCTGTATTCGATTTATTTATTTTAAAAGTTAAACCTTTCGGACTTTCTGGACAACAGTCGTTCTGCAGTTCTAAATGGTGCTGCTTTCGGTTTAGCAAAAAGCTTCCGTCCTTCAGCCTTTCCAATGGTGGTTATTGTTTTAGTTTTTGTAATACCCTTTCGTTGCAAGTAAAGGTCCAATTATTGTTACATATTTATGTGAACTTATTTCCTTGCACACTTGCTCGTTGGGATCAAAATTTTCTACGATATTACATTAGTTCTTTTTAATATGTCCATATAATTTTCTAAATCTTCATTTTTATATCCAACAGGTTCTTTTTCAAAGCAATTAGCATAAACCAACAGTTCCGGGATATTTTATACCTTCCACATGAATATTTTTACCAATGCTTTCCACAGGTTTCTGTCGTTAAACCCAAAAATTTTTTATCTCTTTCGAGGATCATGCACTATTCCATAATTATGATCACACTGAGACTTTGTATCTCCCTCACCTTCATCTATATATGTTCTTGGTAATTCATGGAAGCATTCAACCAATCATCATATCCACGAACTCCCAACATATGTTTGAATAATTTGTCTCTCTTCTAATATATCTGATAAATTTCTGCTTTCTGAATGGTTAAAATTGTGAAGGAAATGTTTCTGCAATAATACTTGTTTCTTGTATATTGGGAATCTGACTTATAGATTCTATTGATCTGTTAAAAAATGATGGAGTTTCAGATTGGTAATATAGGAGTTTTGCCAGTTTTCGGGAGTTATTTTAACTTTTGTAGGTGTTGAAGTTTTAAAATATTCTTCTCTTAATGAAGATCCAACAAGGTTCTTTTTTTATGTGTAAATGTTCCGATTTTCCAATAGCTGAGACTAGTTCTTGTGGAGGTTGTGTTAGTGGTTTGTAAGGGTCTGTTCTAACTCTGCTTGTGTTGTAGATGTTTGCTGATTTTTAGCATATGATACTTTTCTTTTACTGCACGTCTTGACTTTATCAACTCTTTTAGCTAAACGTTTATCCATGTTAGATAATTTTTAGATGAGGAATAACCACAAAACTCGTCTTATATATAAATATAGGAATCAAATTTATTTCTATATCTACCATTATTTAATTGACAATCTTTATCAATTACAAGAAATCCTTATAGGGTTCCTTCCAACATTTGCTGGAAAATATTTTTTAAACTGATCAAATGTCATATCCTATCATACAATGATCATTATATATATGCTTTTAAACTTGAAGAATCTTGTTTAAACAAAATCCAATAAATTTGAATTTTCACGAATTAGTTGTTTAAGAATAGAAGAGTAGCCCTGAAATATGAAAAAAACAGTCTGTGTTTATGTCTACCATGTGTAAAATAATCTCTCGAATAATTAGTTTATTGGGACGAGGAATATCGTCAAAGATAATAAGCACGAAATTTGGTTTTTATTTTATGAGGCGATAAATAACATTTTACATCAATTATCATATTCAAAATAACCAATTTCTTTCATAGGTTCTAAAAAGTTGTCTTAAATATTTATATTTCAGTTGATCTAATGATTTTGAATATATATATATATATATATATATATATATATATATATATATATATCCATATATATATCTATAACGCATATATATATATATATATATATACTATATATATATATATATATAATACTATATATATATATCATATATATATATATATAAACATTTTCGAACCTAATACCATTAAGGATGTTCAAGCAATGTTGGCATAACATTTGGTTTACCACTTCCACTACAACCAACAATTAATCCTCTTTTCGAGCCACCACCAAACAAAACCCCATGTTTCCTAAATTGTTTGTGTGAAACTTTTTCATCATGGTTCTTAATAGGTAAAGAGAATTTTTGTTTTTTGATCTTCATTCTTAAAATTACTAATATATTCCATTGTGTGTAAAAGTATTTATACCCCAGCAACAATAGTTTATTTTTTAGTATTTAAATACGTTTTAATGATTGCACAACATCACTCCAGTGTGAACAAAACTATAAATAGGAGACGAAAAAAAGGTTTTGGTTTAGTAAACAAATTAATTACCAAACTTCCCTTCGAATTTCACATACCAGGATATAACTACTGTGGACCGGGTACAAAATTGGAGAGAAGAGAATAAGAACCAATAGGGGATATTGGTATAAATCCATTAGATGCTGCTTGTAAAAAGAGCATGATATAGCATACTCTCAAACTGAAGATTTATTAAAAGACGCAACTGATAAATTGTTGGGAGATCAGGCTTGGAATAGAGTAAAAGCTAAGGATTCTTCTCTTAGTGAAAAAGTAGCTGCATTAACTGTTGCTGCCATAATGAAGGGAAAACGAAAGCTTGGAATGGGTATAAAAAAGAAAAAGGAAAAAAAGGTGGAAAGTTTAACATGAAGAAAAAACGTATAATTCGAACACCTGAAAAAATTGGGGGACTTTTACCACTTTTGCTCCCAATATTGGGAGCGTTAGGCGCACTAGGTGGAGGTGCTGCAGGAATTGCCAAAGCAGTCAATGATGCTAAAGCATCTAAACAGCAGTTAGAAGAATTGAATAGACATAATATTGCAATGGAGGATGTTTCTAAGGGAAAGGGATTATTTATTAAACCGTATAAGGGAAAAGGACATTTTATAAAACCGTATAAATGTGGTAAACTTGATAAAAGAAAAAGAACAAAAGATTAACATAAGTTTTCCACGTAGACCGCTTACTAATATTGACATTATTAAGTATGTAAAGGTAATGAAAATTCCCAATTTCAGGGTTGTATTTATGCTTGATGAACTTCCAAATACAATATCTTTAAAAGAGTGTGGTGATGTTAATTTAGACAGGAAGCAAAATAAAGGAACACACTGGACTTACATTAAAAATGATAATCATGTTGTATACTTTGATAGTTATGGTAATTTAAAACCACTTGTCAAAATATTTTAATTCAAATGGTGAAGTGAAAGTATTTTACACATATGAAAATAAACAAAAAAATAATTCATATAACTGCGGACAACTTTCTCTAAAATTCTAAAAAAATAATATATAAGCTAACAACATGTAATAAAATAGCATTTACACAATGTCTACAATAATAGCAATATCAGGAAACAGCTCAGTTTTATCAGCTGATTTCAATCCATCTATATATTTGGATGATGAAAAACAATATTACTTAGGTTTGGCAGATTTTGAAACTTTTATGACAATACCCAATATAGAAAAGGCTCACAATAAACTTTATATAGGCGATAAAGTGATTGTTATTCCAGAACTTATTGTTGCGAGCCGGTGTGGACTCGACCTAACCTCACAATATGGCCCGCCCTCGGATGACCTTAACATCGCATAGACACCGCAATGATTCATTCGTTCGAGAAGAATCGAGACCCACTAGAATGGACTAGTACATGCGAGAACATTCGAAAACCTTCTCTATACGCCTAACGATCTATGGACTATTCTAGATTTCTTTTTTATATAGGTATAAAGCCGGCGGCAGTGACCTAGAGAGGGCAGTTATAAATATACCAGTGCAGTTGACGCGCTAAAATTCAAAATAAATTCTTAGTTATAAATCGTTTGTAAATAGTTCTATAAGTCTTTTTTATCGTTATTGTTTTTTGTTAATTAGTGTTAAATAAATAGTGTTTAAATAAATTGTGACTTTCTATCCACGGAACCGACAAAAAAACAATAACAATTGGTGTCAAATTAATGGCGTGTGTGTTAGACTAAAAAAAAATAAATAAGAACTGAAAATGGCTTGAAAAAAAATTTTGAAGGACTTGAAAGCGTCGGAATTAAAATGCATACTGGAAGAGAAATGTGAGACAGATGGGAAAAAAGCATTTTACAAGACGAAGGCTACATTCGAAATCAATTCGCTGGCCGGGTGGCACTTCGACGATGAAGTCGGCACGAAGCTAACCATTCACAACAAATTTCAATTCGAATTTTGCGCATGCGTGTTTAAACGTTCTCCTGACATTTTTTAGGTTAGTTGTTGGTTTTGATTTTGGAAGAGTCAAAAGTCCGAGACAGTTATTGAGTAAGTTTTCCTAGTTTTTTATGTTTAGAAAAATGGAAACAAAAAACGTCATTTATTGATGATTTTTCTAAAATGTGTCTCAAGCACTTTAAAACTTTCTCGCCATTAATATGGGATCGGACACCCCATTTTTGGGTTTTGAGTAAACCCCTTGGTTTTCAGTCAAGCTAATTATTGAGCTGCAACAATAATTTGCGTCCCTAATAAAAAATAAGAATAGCGTCCTTCACTCATTTTTTCTTTTAATAATTATTTACTTTTTCACAGGAAAATGGCTTGTAACAACGACACAAACAAAATAATTATTAAAATTTCAATGTCAAATTTGTCATAATTGTCAAACGAAAATTCCGTGCTGAAGTGGAAGTTTGCAGCTTGCAAGCTTTCAATCCAACTTCAACTTGCACTCTGGCGTCGAATTTTGTTGTGAATGAGTACACTGAAGTACATAAGATAAGCTTGCGTGCCAAAGTACGACTCGGCCAGCGAATTGATTTAGAATCACTTTTAAGAGATGTTCTGATCGAGGAAGGTGAGGATCCTGACATATTTTGTTTTGAGTTAGAAGGTGATCTTGACTCGTCATTGAAGAATTTGCAAGAAAATTTAAACGACAATTTGAACAGTAAGATAATTAATATAGAGGAAAGTTTGTATACTAAAATCAATACATTAGAAGATAAAATCATCGAAAATTCTAAAGATATACAGGCCAGCTTTAATAATAAAATACAGGAATTAGAAGAAAAGATAATAGATACACAAGACAAAATAACTGAGATTGAGGAAGATGTAAATAGAAAAATCGAAATTTTGAAAGAACAAATAGCGAAGTCAAATTCACCAAAATGTCAAAAACATCTGAGGGACCGAAACTAAATTCGAAAATAGGTATACCTCAAAAATCAGTTATGAAACCTCCGCAGTTTGACGGAAAAACCGCTTGGGCCAACTATTTTTTGCCAATTTGAAGCCGCTGCGAGAGCAAACGGCTGGACAATCGCTGAAAAAAGCTACCGCTTTGACTATCGCACTTCGGGAGATGCGACTGATATCCCTGCAGACACTGTCTGCCCATCGGAACAGGGGAGATTATCAGCAATTGGTGCGACATTTAGAAATGAGGTGCAGGCCAAGCTCATTTGGAACATGTCTATCATTCCCAACTAAAAAATCGCATTCAAAAGACAAATGGTCTCTGCAGGGTTTGAACCCGACGTAGCCCGCCTCATTCGCTTAGCGTACCCTGCTACGCCCGAGAATGTTATGGAGCGGTTGGCAGTACAGGCATTCTCCGACGGCTTACGTGACAACGAGACAAGACAAAACGCACTTCTCTAGCCCACCCAACGCACTTGGTGGATGCTTTAGCACGTGCCCTAGAATTCGAGGCCGCGAAACAAAGTTCTCGGTCTTTAAGGAAGAGTACGGGCCATCGACGAAGATGTTCCGACGAATCCGTGGAAGGGATTGTTCAGGAAGGTAATGGACCAGTACATGGGCAAGACGGGACCGATTCGTTGCTGGAACTGCGGACAGGTAGGACGCGTGCTGCGAAGCCGTTATAAGGAGAAAGAACGAAAGAACCGGCTTCGTCGAGGTCGGAGAAAAACTACTAAGGGTCGAAATGAAGGGGCACACGTCGACCTGTTACCCAACATGCCCCAACGAAAACTGCTCAAGTCGCACTCGCTTTAACACAAATTCAACAGCATTTTTGCGTGGATGGTTTGTTGATGGAGAGTTCCGGACCATGCTGTTGGATACAGGTGCGGCGAAAACTATCATCAGACCGGACATTCTTTAAACATCGAAGAAGGTTAAAAACAACACAATGGCGAATACGTACAGCTACAGGAAGCTCCGCTCTCATCCATGGAGAGGTAGATCTTAATTTTGTTATCGGAAGCACCTGTTTTAATCATCGAGTGTTAGTAGCGAACATCGAAGATGAACTTATTCTCGGAATGGACATCATGACCACTAGAGGTTTTGAGAGCTAAACCTCAAACAAAGGAATTTGAAAATAAATGAAGAAGAAGTGGTTCTGCATCGAAAATGTGAGGAGACGCTTCGCGTGGTCGTAGCAGAAGATGTTTCGATCCCTGAGCGCTGTATTTTTGGATGGTTGCCCAGAAAGGTAAAAATGAATGAATTATTATTCTGTTGGAGCCAAGGAACCATGACAGCGAAATAGGACGAGGATCGCTGTTGGAAAAGCCCTGCTACGAGCGAAGAAAACTGTACAGGTGAGTAATGAACACGAATTATTATTCATCATCCGGAAGAAGGGAACCCTCTTAGGGTACTGTTGTTCAGGGGTCCCTCAGTCGTTCGAAGCGTGGAAGTCTCCAAAGTTTCGACTTCAAAGTTCGGACAAAATGGTGAAGAGAGTTTGTAAACGTTAATGGATTATCTCCACGAAAATAGTAGAAAATTGAGACCTGATAATCCAAGTATCAAGATGTGTTTGATAAAGGAAAAGCAGGACAGAGGTCGTACCAATTTAGTACAACACAAAATTGATACAGGAGATGCACGACCAATCAAACAAAATCCGAGAAAGGCTTCCGCTCGCCAAACGTGAAGAAGCTGATAAAATCCTTCGAGAAATGAAAGTAGAGATTGTCATCGAACCATCGTACAGCCGTGGACATCGCCAAGGCCGGAAGTACTAGTAAAGAAGAAGACGGTACCACCAGGTTCTGTGTTGATTATCGGCAGCTCAATAATGTTACCAAGAGGATAGTTATCCCCTGCCGAGGATAGACGATACTCCTAGACACGCTGGCGGGGTCAACGATATTCTCTACGTTAGATCTGAAAGAGTGGATATTGGCAAGTCGACATGGCGCCGAAGACAGAGAGAGACAGCGTTCTCGGTGGGCTCCGGACTGTGGCAATTTACCGTCATGCCTTTGGTTTTGCAACGCCAGCTACCTTTGAGAGACTAATGGGAGTCTGTGTTAAAGGGACTATCCTGGACTACCTGTTTAGTGTACCTGGATGACATCATTAGTGGTTGGGGAAATCCTTTGACCATCATCACAGAAATTTGGAAGAAGTTTCAAGCGACTGAGGAGTTCTGGTTTGAAACTTAGCCCCAAGAAATGTCATCTGTGTCAAGAAAAGGCACACTACTTGGGCCATGTAGTCTCCTCCCAAGGAGTTGCGGTAGATCCACAGAAGAACAAGACAGTGTAAGAGTGGCCGATACCTAAAGATAAACATGAACTACGAAGCTTTTTGGGACTATGCACATACTATCGACGCTATGTACAGGGTTTCGCCACCATCGCAAAACCATTGATCAGACTTACCGAAGGCAGAGGCGTTTCTCTTGGGA